TGTGTGTGCGTGTCTAAGTACGAAAGACACGGGCCGTCGCCTGATAAAACCCGCCATCTACATGCCCGTGCCCATCACCATCACTGCCACAGCGGCCGCCGCCGCGTATCGAGCCCCCCCCAAGGGGCCCCACCTGGCTTGCTTCTGCAACGTCTCCGCCAGCACTCGCGCCGCCAGCGCCGCCGCCGCCTCGTACCGCCGCGCGTCCGCCTCCGACCCCCTCTCCCCTCCCGCCACCCCCGCCGCCGCTGCCGCCGCCGCCGCCGCCACCCCCGCCTCCGCCTCCGCCGCCTCCTTCACCGCCCCCCAGAAGGCACCCATCTCGGCACTCGCGTCCAGCACCAGCGTTGTGAAGAGTGGGGAGGCCGCCAGCAGGGGCAGGCGGGGGGGGCCCACAGTGCCCCACAACATGCGGCGCGGGTCGGGGCACCTGGCGGCCACCTGGGGCGCCCCAAAACACACACACACACACACACACCGGGGAGATCGGAAAACGGAATGGAACGGATGGGGGCACCTCATCGGTTAGGTCCCGGTCCGTGTGGCTGTGAGGCGGCTGTGTGTGGGGGGGGGGGCGGGGTGTGTGCGGGGTAGGTCAGGAGAACAAGAAGAACCGTCAAAATCCACAAAAGATCAAAAAACTCCTAAAATCCCAACCTCTTCTTTTACCCTCCTTTTTTTATTACCAGCAGCATCGCCTGCACGTCCTGTCTCTGCTCCGAAGCCAGCTGCGAGGCTGCACGTACGGCACCCTCCCTGTACAACCGGTCCGCCCTTAGGAACTGTGACAGCACGTGGCCCACGAAGCGACATTGCAGAGCCACCTGGGGTGGTGTGTGTGGTAAGGAGGAGGGGGGGGGTCCGTGTGGGTGTGAAGACCGGAGGAGGGGGGGGAGAGAGACACACGCGCGATATGGTGGTTTTAAAGTGGGGGAGGTGCAACATGGAAATATACATATATGGAGAGGGTGGGTTGTCGGTGTGGCCAAGACGCCCCCGTCTGACCGTTGTTTGCAAACCAAC